TTAATGAACATATTCACTGAAAAGACATTTTGTTCTCTACAGCAGTCTTTTCCACTTATGTTTACCATGGGCGTAGGAACGGGGGGGGCAGGGGGGCCATGCTCCCACGTTTCAAGGTGGGGGGGGGGGGGGGCAGCAGTGTTAACTGCCTCCCCCTTTCAGATTAGGGCTGTGTTTGGCCTACTTTTGCACTACATTAAAAAGATATGCCGATTTAATTAGTTCACCAGCCATTTTCTCACCATGTGTTCTCTTTTTCGGTTGCTCATGGGCCACTACTTAGTGCTACAACCACAGGGCCGACGCCGCGTGGCCTATGGAGACGGCAACGCCGGGTATTGAGGCTGTTGTTGCTATGACTTGCGAGCGCGCATGTTCACGCCATGTTACATAGTATTTATCAGTGTTCAGTTCTGACCGAATCTTGAACATTTCAAGATAAACATGAATTAGCTATGCTGATACAAACTTGGGATTCCCATTTCACCTACAGTCTACGTTCAGGGAGTCCTACAGAGTCTATGTGACAACTATTGGGCCACCTGCGGCGATAAGGGATATTGTTGCGTCAGTGAGGATTTCTGTGCTGATCCAGGGCAAAGTGCACGGGCCAGAAGGCCTCCCGTGTCCGGAAGGGGAACAATTTGTTACGATTTATCCTTCTAATGGCCTCCGGATCGATGAAGAGATCGATCGTCACCAGCATGACAGCCAGAAGCCACTTTGCGATAGGACGGAATGGCGCTTCAGGCTTTGACCTGAAACGTTTAATGCGCCCCACTCAAGGGCCCTTGCCTGGAGGGAAATAAGGGGTCTCAATATTGTTGAGTAGAGTGGTAGCCTCGTTACTGTTCAATAGAGTGGGTTGAAGTAAGTTAAAAGAAAACGAACAAGGCCATCCCACGTTTTTGAGAACGCTCATTTTTCCAGGATGGATTAGTAAAACAAATTACATTGACATGTGTGGACATGCCCGCCTACAACCTCGAGTGCAAGGACAGTGATGGCCTGGGTTCCAGCTTCCGAAAGACCAAACGGCATCGGCCACTGCAAGTGTCACCAGACGGCGGACGCCGTGGTAATGTATCTTCTGGACAGATTGATGGTCACAGCAACCCGAAAAATACAGATTTTAATTTATTCTTCGAATTCCCCGACCAGACTCCAGTGCCACTTTGTGGTGCTTTAAGGTCCAATCCGTTCTTATCATCGGTTTGAAAATGCGCAAGTGAAATATGCGCCCAGACTGTCTTCTAAATGTAAGGCTTGATGTCCCGAAGTGTTCAAACGTGCTTCTTTCAGAAGCGTCATTATTTTCGAACACCCGTTGGCCACGGCTTGGTATCGGCTGCTCGGCCGACGCTGCGCGGCCATGGCAGATCGATGGATCATATCGATCCCTTGGACGGACCCAGCTGTCTCTCATCGTACTCACGCAGCCAGCCATCCCTGATCCAATTGTCAAGTTCTGCCTCGTACTCGGCGCGCGCCTCCGCCGGCACCGGGTACTCATCCACCGCGCTCAGCAGCTCACTCGGCGGGCTGCCCCCGGCCCACTTCCACGACACTACCCAGCGCAGCAGAATGGGGTCGAATGTCACGCAGAAGTCCTCGTTCTCAACCCTCAGTTTCACATTCCGCCGCGGCTCCTCGGCAGCGACAACACACGCCTCACCCACTTTTCGGAGACAAACTGCACGTCAGAGGGCGAGCGGACAGGCACTCCCCTTGAGCCTGGACAGCGTCCATCCCCATTATCACACCAAACCCGAGGGGCTTTTCCCTGACCACCAGGGCACTCACCAACACTGCCCGGCAGCCTGGCACGGTGAGCTGAATGTCCCCAGTGCCCGCACACTCATGCTGCTGGCCGCTTACAGTCACCACGTGCACTGTTCGCCTCCGCCACCGACGGCACACGGCCCCGCGCACCAGCGTCCGCGTGCACCCAGAAGCAATCAGCACGGTGCGCCGTGCTCCGTCGATTTCCAACTCTCTCACCGGTAACGCGCCAGTAAGATGCCTCAGTCCCGAGAGGAGGCCGGCGCAGGTGCCTCTTCTCACTCTCCGTTTGGGCAGCCGGCGGCGATGTGTCCCCGTGCCCAACAACGGTGGCACCGAAGGGCGGGTGGATCACCTCCGCGTGCCGTGTACGGACCTGCAGCCGACTGCCACTGCCCGCCTCCGAAGCGTCGGTCACGCGGGCACTCGCGGGCGATGTGTGTGAACTCCCCGCAGGTAAAACACGGGCCTCGCCGCCTACCGTCGCCACTGTCTGCCCACCGCCAGCAGACATGGCGGCCACGCCCGACCCTTCGCGTAACGCGGCGCGGGCCCGGTCCGCAAGTTCGTTCAGGGAAAGCGAATCCATTCGCGCTCCCGCCTTCAACACCACAGCTTCCGTAGTCCCGCCACAAATGCACAGCACAGGCCACCTTCGCTGACCCCCCTCCCCCCCCCCCCGAACAGGAACGCAAGCTGCTGGAGCTCCGCGAGGAAAACACCTACCGATTCCCCGCCCCGAGCTTACAATCCATAAATCGTTCATAAGCCGTGAACTTATCTAACGCAAAGGCCCTCTTCAACGCACCTTCTCTATCTTCTCTGGATCCTTCCTATCCGCTACTGGCAACTGCCGGTATACTGACAGCGCGCCCCCCTCCAGTCTCAACGGTATGACGATTTCCTGTCGCATTTCCGCTTGCTCTTCATCGCGCCGACAAAGCGTGCATATCCATCTCCATTTTCTCGATCCACTCCACGACATTTGCCCCGTCCGATCCATCAAAGTTAGGTGTCAACTTAACATCAAGTCCCGCCATAATGCCGAAATAGCTTGCATTGTTCAGACACTGACATTGCCGCCCCTCCCCCCCTCCCGTGCGCCGCTCAAACCACTTCCGCTCCTGGCCGCCGCCGCCCCGCCGCCAAGCGGCTGAAACTCGCACCTCGGGGCAGAGCGTGGGAGCGAGCCGGCGAGACGGATCATCATTGCACATCACAGCAGGGCTCTGGCTAAGCAACCGCTTACACACAAAAGCAGATCAAATCGCCTACGTTGAATGATAGACAATAAAATGTCCGTTGGGCCGATGCATACCCAATGCAGGCAGCTTCTCGGAGGTTATTCCTGCGATGGTGTGGTGTAAGGAAGAGTAATTCGAAAATATACTGTTGTAGGTGTTTTACATATGTTTTACAGACCAATCAGTAGCACCCAAAACGCTAAATTGAAAAAAAAATTTAAAAAACTAGTAATTGATCGAGAAATATGGAGCAAACCACCCATACCACCAGTTTGCAGTCAGTCATGCGGGAGACAGCCGGCCCAGGGCAGTGGCCGCCGACGGCAGACGGCAGCAGCACCCAGTTAAGAGATATATGGCAGAAGAGTCTTCATTTTGTGGATTGATTTTTTAAGGACAATTTTCAGTTGTGTGGCTGTTGTCACACTGCTTTTGACAGCTTCAAGCTTCCGAATTCGTTTCTGCCTAAAATGTTGCGACAAGTCTTATCTCTTGAAAACCAGCCAGCGAAATGAAGGCGCATACAAAATTTGTCGCAGTGTGAGCCATCAATTCGCCTTCAAAATGTTCACCAACCTATGTCCAGGCCGTATTTTGGCATTTACCCTGTGGAGGCAGATGCCTCCTCAATGACCCAAAATGCCTACCCGCGCGTGGGGTTTCGCCTCCCCAGGAAAGGCAACGTTGAAATGGACGAATAATTCTGGGAAGCCGGGCAGCCTTATTTACCGAATGACACAGACGAGTCGAACAGACAAGATTGTGCACCAGCGAGAAACAGCTCTAGGTGCATATCTATCAAAACGGTCGTGGCATCTGAATAAGAAACGATAACAACCTTCATCTATAGCACTTCCCCCCCCTTCCCCCCCCCCCACCCTCCGGTCATCGGGCCCGCTTTCCAGAAAATGGTTTGTGAAGCACGCCCTGAGCTTGCCCCCCATTTTTGAAACCTTCCTACGCTTATGATGTATACCAATTCTTATTAGTGAGCTTTTCGGTGCTATCTGATGCTTGCTTCAGTTTTATTAAATGTGGAACGGTGTTTCGCATAATTCAATATCTTTCGCTTTTCGCCCACTGTTTTTTAAGAACAAAAGGATCGAGCCCTGATGGAAACAAGCTAACCTTTGTTGAGACACCTCTGACGCTATTGCCAGCCCTTTATCCTTCTGAGTTCAAAGGTTCAGGGTTTCAAGCACGGTGAATTTTGGAGAAGTGCATTCTTGATTGCAGGAGTCCCGTACTTAATCGCATTTTGCTATTTTGTTTTTTTTACCACAAATGGCCGCTGACAGACCGGCATGATGAGATTGCCATGGATGTCCAAGTCTCGACCTTTTGACCGCGCCCCTGGCAAGCACGCGCGTGCAAATCGAAACGTCGGGAAAGAGGGATAGTTGTTAGACGGCGCGTAATAAATTGCACATGCGTGCGTAGTACTTAACTCGGTTTACAGTGGTCTTTTGGAGGTTTTGCCTCCTCCCCAACTCCTGTCTTGAAGTCTGGCGGTTATGTCCCGTAACAGACTTGACTTATTAATATCACAGACTTGATTATTAGACTTGGAAATATCATCGGCCGAGGTGGCCGAAGCGTAGATGTGCGCCTCGGGTAATTTTCTTTCTTTCCCACTACGTTCCAGCTCAGTCGCCTATCTTAGCTTCTTTTTACGAGGAGGAAGAAGTAAAGACCTCTCACTCAGTGCAACGAAGCATAATAAGCAGTGGAGCGCGTGCACAAACTTGACGGCCTATGCCTGTTGCCAGCTGCATGCCTGGGATAATTTCTACCGAACCCTCATTCCTACCACACTGCAAGTACTAAGTATTACCGACCATGGCAGATGAGGGCGATGACGTCATGCGATTTGGCAGCTGGTAGACATATGTGTAATTCTATTGCCATGGCGTTGGGAGGGGCACGGACACTACCGGTGTTTTAATATATATATATATATATCCTCGCGATAGATTTAGCGATGTATGTGGCATGGTGCTCAGACATGACAGCCTCAAACTGTTACGCTAGTTGTTTGTAGTAAACCCCAGGCGGTCGCCCATCGTTCTCAGACATTGAATGTGACAAGTCTGTTGATCTGTCCTTTGACTGATCCAAGGCTGCACTGATCTGTTCTTGGAATGTTTCTGTCGGTACTTGCGGTCGGCAGGGTGGTTTTATAGCTATCTTATTTCAAAGGTAAGATCATCTTGTCCAGCTTTGTGATCGCTGTTCATATTTTACCTGAAACAAATGGGTTGCCTTGGATATCGTGTTGTCCCAATATTTTGGAAAGTTCTGTCTTGAAAGACCAATATGACACCTAATGCTCACACTAAGACCCTAATGCCCTTTTCAGATGTTGTAGTCACCCTAGTGTTTCTTCTGTGTCTTGTAAAAAATATATGGTTGGTGCATGTGTTGTGTATTGTCTGGCATCCTGGAAATACTTACTTTTCTTGCATGTGATGTTCTAAGATATGGTTTAAGCAGATGTTGTGCATTAGCTGGCATCCTTGAAAGGCTTACTTTGAAAGATTGAGGGAGAGAAGCCAATATCTTTCCCAAGGCATTTTTCATTCTAATGTGATGGAATATGCAACTTGTCAGCCAGTCACAGTCCTGGAGTGCAGATTCTGTCATCATCATAACAACTGAAGTGATGGCAGGGAGGAAGTGTAGTCCTGTTACAAGATGTTGGCAGCATTATCCAAACTAAAAGGTTACTAGAATTGATATCTATGTTATGCCTTTGCAGTGCTGCAGGTGTACCACATAATGCTATTGCATGCCACTCATCCTGGGGTTTCACAGGAATATTTTGAAGTATGCCCTGAAGGTGGGGACACTCCCATCAACCTTACCATCCATGAAATTCTTAGTCAACAGCATGATGTTTGGCAAAAGCTTAACAAACTGCAGTGCTTGATATGACTTATTGAACACTTTGTTGCAAGTTGTCCCCTGGGACAGCAGCTGTGACTGCCCTCAGACAGGCTCAGTTGTGGGCTATCTCATAGAGATCTCACTTTGCAAGCCAATTTCACTGGGATGTTGTGTAACTTCTCAACTTCTGTGTGCATTTAGTTGTTGCTGATTTTCTTGAAGTCAAATATCTGGCTGAGTACCCAAGTTTGTAGGCGCTTAACATGTGTTGGAATGCTTTCCTCGAAACATCTTTGGGAGATGAAGAAACCCCCTTGCTAGATGAAGGTCATTTGATTTTGGTCTCTGGTTTTGTTTTTGTCATTGCATTCCAGTAATGCATTGCTTATCTCATTTAATTGCTGATTCAGATAATGATTTTGAGAATTGGAGATGAGTTTCAGATTCAAATCCTGATTTACACAGTTTCATTTTGTTGCTTTCAGAATTTTCATTTCTACTTGGAATGGCACATGATGTCATGGCTAATAAGGTTGTTGCCGAGGCTAAGGCATGTGAGATGCCGTCTGTGGTAATAGCCACTGTATTGCACTGGGGGGGTCACAGCTCATGATTGGTCTGCCAGGCAGGAATGCATATAAACAGTGTAGGCTTTTGCTCCAATTTTGTAAAACCACTGTTTTTTCTCTATTGGCTTTGAAGTTAGCTTTGAAACATCCTGCACAGGTGATTTTGGCTTCAACCTCTGATTGCCATTGTTTTTGACAGCTGACTCTGACTCTGTCTTTGGTCCTGATGTCCTATGGCCCCAATCACCAGTGTGTTTTTTATTCTTGTTAAGTTTGTTGCTCTCACTTAAGCATTTCTCATGTTTTCTTACTATGCCTACTCTCAGCTGGGCAGATAGAACAAATGTTGGAAAAATTATCTGGTAATTGTGGATCATTGTACAGAAAAGTTTTGCATCCATCCTTTGTTGTGGAGCTGGGAGTGTTAAGTAATTTATGTAATGCTCCATGGGTGCTGCTGATAATGCTCCTGCGAGTCCTTGCATGCACTGCTCTGGTCTGCTGAGCGATGTGCGGCGCGTCCGTCTCGCGGCAGTTGGTGTGCTCACCTGATTGCGCGCGTGTCTCACAGGTGTGTCGGGCCGGGCCGGACGCGAGCCGCCATGCCAGAGACAAGTAGTGCCAGCGTGGTGAAGATCGCCGTGCGGATGGATGGCAAGCAGCCGATCCTGACTGAGGTCGACCTCAGCCAGCCGCTGCATAAGCACATCCTGGACCTGGCCAACTCCTGGGGCCTGGCCGAGCCCAAGCAGTACGCGCTCAAGTTCACCGACAGCGAGGAGCGCTACATCACAGAGAAAAACAAGCTGGAGGTGCGCAATGGCTGGGTTCTGTTCCTGGACGTGTCGCCAGCGCGCGCCACGGCCACCATCCTGCAGCAGCTGAAGTCGGAGGAGGCCGCGGAAGGACTGGAGACGCTGTGCCGGCTCAGCCCGGACCCCACGTTCGCGGCCGAGTTTATCTGCGAGGGTGGCCTCCAGCTGCTGATCGGTGGCATTGAGGCTGACCAATACGGTGACGCGGCGCTGCCCAACGCGCTAACCAGCTTCCTCGAGCTGATGGAGCACGGCATCGTGCTCTGGGAGGTGCTGGAGGCGCGCTTTGTGTCGCGCGTGGCCGCCGTGGTAAACCGGCTGGCGGCTGACGGCGCCACGGCGCGCGGCGCGGACCGCACCAGCCGCGTCGGCGATCGTTCCAGCCAGATCAACCTGCAAACGCGGCCCAGCCTGCTCAATGAGCAGCTGAAGAAGGCGCTCCGCGCTGCGCTTTCCATTCTGGACAGCGTGATCGTGAACGTGCCGACCCGGCACGAACTGATCAGCGGGGAGGTGGAGATGTACCACCTGATTACGCACCTGCAGCGCGCCGACGCCATCGTCCAGCAGAACTCGCTGGCGCTCATCAATGCGCTGTTCGCTCGTGCTGATGGCCGCAGAAAAGAGGAGTACACCATCAGCCTAAACTCCAAGAGCTTTCGCAATGTCATCCAGACGTACGTCATCAACGTGAAGAGCAGTCAAGATATGGGCCAGGAGATCGCCCACCAGCTGTACGTGCTGCAGACGCTCAACCTGAACCTGCTGGAGGGGCGCATGCGCAGTGCCGTCAACCCGCAGGACCCGGAGGTGCTGGAGAAGATCAAGCAGTTGCGGAAGCTGGCGCTGGACGATGAGAGCAAGGGTTCGGCCGGGCGCAAGCCGGGCAGCTTCGCGAAGGACTACCAGCAGCTGGGCTTCCAGGACGGCATCAACCCGGCGCACGACTTCAGCGAGACGCCGCCGGGCGTGCTGGCGCTCGACTGCATGCTGTATCTGGCGCAGTCACACGCCGAGCTGTACACGCGACTGGTGCTGGAGAACTCGTGTGGCTCCGACCACGAGTGCCCGTTCGGCCGCACCAGCATCCGCTTGACGGCGCTGTTGTGTCGCATTCTCAAGGTGGGCGAGCCGCCGTCCGACCAGGGCAGCGTCTTCTACCCCATGTTCTTCTTCCAGGAAAATCCGTTTGAGGAATTCTTCTGCATATGCATCAACCTGCTCAACAAGACCTGGAAGGAGATGCGCGCCACTACTGAGGACTTCGACAAGGTGATGTCGGTGGTGAAGGAGCAGATCACGCGTGCGCTGCACGGCCGCCAGAAGCTGGCCGAGGGTGGCGGGGGTAAGCTGGAGGCGCAGACGCGGCCCGACCCGCCCTCCACCCTGGATGAGTTCCGCACTCGCCTCAACAACCTCACCTACTCCCAGATCAACACCATCTGGCAGCAGGAGCAGAACACCAAGGAGGAGTGGGAGAGCCAGGTGGGTCCCGGCGTCGGCTGCCGACCGGGGGCATCCCGGACGGGCTGCTGGCACCAGTCAGAGCGACCGGCCGCCGCACGGCAGACTGTTCCGCCGTTTAGTCAGACGTTGCGCAGACCGCGTGACACATTGCGCTGCTGTGCTCACTTGTATGCAATGAAAGGCAATTACAGTTCTTGGATAACATTGAAGGTATATTTTGTGATATATCATTGTTTTCTGTACTTGACATGTGTGGAAGTTTGATTGGCACTGCCAAAGGACAGGATGCACGGAAGTTATTCCATATCTTTCCCGAAAGGAGACTATGGGAATGTTGGTGCCGTCTGCTCCCCCCAGTAAGTCCGCGATTGAAACCGCGGCGGCTGCTGAATCGGTTTGGCCGCCTGCTTCAGGCGCGTCCGATCGTGGAGTTGCGAGAGCAGGTGACGCCGGACATGCTGGAGCTGGTGCAGATGCAGCGGCTGCAGTACCTGGTTGAGGGCACCCGCTTCACCAAATACACATCGCGTGGACAGGTTTGTGTCCGGCGCACTGACGGCCGTCCCTTGTCCGATGTTGTGCAGTGCGGGATGGTGACGGCGCTCGTCCTTCTGTGTTTCTTTTAGGCAACGGGAATGGGATACTAGATGAGCTCACAACGGATCGGCGCTTTGCATAGGATTGCTTAAGTGCAGATGGGTCGCACCTCGATGTAAGTGTTCGTGTGATATGTTCTTCGTCCGTCTAATGTGTCACGAAACAGCTGCATCGCTCGCATGTGTGCTCCGGATTGTCTGTTTCTACTTCTCTGCATCGTAACAATTCGGCGTCAGTTTCTGTATCCATTTACTACTTAACATGCCTCGCTGCGCAGTCACGCAGTCAGTTCACTTGCACTTGGTTTCACCTTTACTGGGCGTAGAAGTGCGTGGTATGTGAATCGGGGTGCGCTTCCTACGCATCGCTACCGCTGTTTCGCGGCCGGTGCCGCCGTTCTGAGGGGCGGGCCTCCGGCTGCAGCGCGCCAAGGACAAGTTCTGGGTGGTGCGTTTGTCGCCCAACCACAAGCTGCTGCACTACGGCGACTGCAGCGAGCAGGCGGCGCCGTCGCTGGACGAGCTGGCCAACAAGCTGGCCGTGCAGGAGGTGCGCGCGCTCGTCACCGGCCGCGACTGCCCGCACATGAAGGACAAGTGAGCGTCGATGGCCACTGGGACTGCCGAGCCGAGGGCTCCGCAGACACAGCCTGGTCTTGAAACATGTTCACGTGTTTTTGTTAAACACGCGTGCGTGCCTTGTACTTTCAGCCAATTGCCGCCTTTGCCCGGCCGAATCGTTACTTGCGCTAAAAAGATTATCTATGCTCACTGCGAGCACCCTGGCGAAGGACCCGCACGCACGAGTGTCGTGCGCTGTGGCGTGGCCGTGCATAGTGGTCACGTTGAAATCGATTGATAGAAGTAACACAAAACTATCCGTGTCCCAAAGCGATCGCTCAAAACCGACGAATTTGCATTTGTTCGGAATGCGTCCGCCTCCTCGTCTGCCTGCTGCGCGCTGCTCGCGTGTGGGGCCGCTGTCGTAACCCGGGCGGTGACGTGTGTGTCAGGGGCAAGAAGTCGACGTTCCAGTTGGCGTTCTCGCTGCTGCTCGACTCGCCTGATGGCGGCTCTCTTGACTTCGTCGCACCCGACGAGAAGACGTTCGACTACTGGACGGATGGCATCAACGCCCTGCTCGGTGAGCTGTCCCGCCGCCGGACCCTCGGTGGCGGGGGGGGGGAGGGGGCGTTGAGCTCTTGACGGGGAGGGGCGCAGCGGCACCGGACCCTCGGAAGGGGGGGGGGGGGCCGGGGCGGCGCCTGGAGGGCCAAGAGCCGGCAGTCTATTGTTCGCGATTGTGTAGCTTTAACCGCGTTTGTTCTCGTTCCGAGGTTTTTATTTTTATGTGGTGCCGTTTGCGCCCTTTTGTTGGCCTGATGGTATGTTTAGGATATATCTGTGCGTTTAGCTAGTGACCCGACTTTCCCCTTTGTTTTGACCTGGCCTGCTGGGGATATGACGGGATTCCGGTGACATGACTTACCGGGGATATGACGGGGCTCCGGTGACATGGCCTGCTGGGGATATGACGTATGGGATATGGGGATATGACGGGGCTCCTGTAACGAGACCTGCGGTGGATATAACGGGGTCCCTGTGATCTGACCTGCCGGGGGTATGACGGGGTTCCTGTAGCCAGACCTGCGGTGGATATAACGGGGTCCCTGTGACCTGACCTGCCGGGGGTATGACGGGGTTCCTGTAGCCAGACCTGTGGTGGATATAACGGGGTCCCTGTGGTCTGACCTGCCGGGGGATATGACGGAGCTCCTGTAAACAGATCTGCGGGGAACATAACGGGGTCCCGGTGACCCGAGCTGACGTGTTCGGTTTGGCAGGTAAGCCGATGACCTCTGAAGAGGCCGGCCGTGATCTGGACATGCTGCTGGCCATGGAGATCAAGCTGCGCCTGCTGGACACGGACGGACTGGAGATCCCGCAGCAGCCGCCGCCCATTCCGCCCGACCCGCCCAACTACGACTTCTGCTGTGACTGACCTGCCGCACGCGGCGAGCAGCGGCGGCCACCGCGCACCCGAGGCCGGGCCCGGCCGGCCAGGGCGCTTACCGCCCGTGCTTCTCTGTATTTTAAAGCGCATCGTTTCGACGGAATGAACGTTGTTTTGCCCCGGCATGCAGAGTAACCGAGCGGAACAGGCGCGTTGGGCGCCGCTCTACCATACGGATCTCGCTTACTTGGCCGCGGCATCAGACGCCACTGTCGACCGTAAGGCTCATAGCTCAAAGCTCTCTGGGTGCCGCTTCGCGAGCCTGTGGTCGGCAGGCCGTTGCCTTTGCTCGGAGCAAGGCGAGCTATTTTGTGTTCGACGTACTCGCCGCGCCATCCGCCCGCCGCCGTCCGGCACCTCTGGCAGACCGGACGGGCGCGCGCCAGCCATCCGCCCGCCCCTGCCCGGCGCCTCTGGCAGACCGGACGGGCGTGTGCCAGCCTTGTTCGTGCCGGGCTTTCGATCCGTTCTTGCAGGTCACAGCATGCCAAAGCTTGTTTGTTTTACGCAGGTCTGGCGCCGTTTTCTGGCGCTATAGGACGCTTACAGGCAGTTGTGAGTACAGTTTGACCAGTGGTCGGTCCTCAGCACATACGTACTGATTGTCAATGTACTGCTCTGTGGGCCGTCGTGACATGCACGGCAAGCAGCAGTTATGGGAGTGAGGGACACCGTCTACCGGCTAGAGACGGTGGTGGTCTCAATGTCAAGCGAGTGGTGATTGTCTCGTCCCGCTGCTGTACCCGCGTCGAGCACTGCGCGCATCGTAAGTTTTCATTGCATGTGCTTTTCAGCTCTATGTCACGTGCCTGAGAAGAAGTGAATTTCGCCAACGGAGTGATGGAAAAGCAGTTCCTTGCTACCATATGTACGTTTTTATATGGACGGATGTGTACCATTATTAGTCCAGGCATTGCATATTTGACTATATTCTTAAATAGACACCGACAGAGAATCCGATGTGTGTCAGGGGCAGTGCGACACGCCGGACTCCGTTCAACATATCGGAAGGGCATCGCACGCGCGTAGGCAGCTGGCTGGCGAATGCGTCGCATTCCGGGGATCTCGTGGCACCACCACAGCATAGCAAGGATCCCAAACCAATGAAAACCGAAAGGCGCCACGACACGACTGGTAACGTTCGGGGCAATGGGATCCTCCGCGTTTTTGGAGTCGCGACAGCAGACTAGCAGTTGACCAGGGCTGCGGCGACAGCGGCTGGGTTTCTGGACGCCGCCGGATGGATCGGCTCCCGCTCGCGGACCGCCCTAGGAGTGTCAGCTGGCGCCACGTGCCGTCAGCCTCGGACGCCTGGACGGAGAGCGCGGCAGGGATCTGCAGCGGGGCACCGGCTGGGGCCGTCCCGCGGCGTCCGCTGGGGTCTGCAGCGGGGCACCGGCTGGAGCCATCCGGCAGCTTCAGCTGGGGTCCGCAGCGGGGCACCGGCTGGAGCCATCCGGCAGCTTCAGCTGGGGCCCGCAGCGGGGCACCGGCTGGGGCCGTCCGGTGGCGTCAGCTGGGGTCTGCAGCGGGGCACCGGCTGGGGCCGTCCCGCGGCGTCCGCTGGGGTCTGCAGCGGGGCACCGGCTGGGGCCGTCCGGTGGCGTCCGCTGGGGTCCGCAGCGGGGCACCGGCTGGGGCCGTTCGGTGGCGTCAGCTGGGGTCTGCAGCGGGGCACCGGCCGGGGCCGTGCCGCGGCGTCCGCTGGGGTCCGCAGCGGGGCACCGGCTGGAGCCGTCCGGTGGCGTCCGCTGGGGTCCGCAGCGGGGCACCGGCTGGGGCCGTCCGGTGGCGTCCGCTGGGGTCCGCAGCGGGGCACCGGCTGGAGCCATCCGGCAGCTTCAGCTGAGGTCCGCAGCGGGGCACTGGCTGGGGCCGTCCGGTGGCGTCAGCTGGGGTCCGCAGCGGGGCACCGGCTGGAGCCATCCGGCAGCCTCAGCTGGGGTCCGCAGCGGGGCACCGGCTGGGGCCGTCCCGCGGCGTCCGCTGGGGTCCGCAGCGGGGCACCGGCTGGAGCCATCCGGCAGCTTCAGCTGGGGTCCGCAGCGGGGCACCGGCTGGGGCCGTCCGGTGGCGTCAGCTGGGGTCTGCAGCGGGGCACCGGCTGGGGCCGTCCCGCGGCGTCCGCTGGGGTCTGCAGCGGGGCACCGGCTGGGGCCGTCCCGCGGCGTCCGCTGGGGTCTGCAGCGGGGCACCGGCTGGAGCCGTCCGGCGGCGTCAGCTGGGCTCCGCGCTATCAGCGGAGCCGTCGGCGCCGCCGCCAGACGGCGACTCTAGTGTGATCGTTACGGGACCGTCGTTCTGGATCGAAACTTGCATGTAGGCGGCGAACAGTCCATCTGGAACGAGCGCAAGGTGAGCTGGGACCGCTGGTCGTGAGACAGGGGCCCTCTACTGTGGGCCGGGCCGCACCGCGCGACCTGACTCCGGTCGTCATGCAGGATGGCACAGACACACCTGTCTCCGAAGGGCCCCTGGAACCTAGATAGCTCTTCTAAGCAAAAGGTAACATCCTCATATAAGGACAGTGACCTCGTTTGACCTTTTGAAGAACATGGTGACCAAAATCATACAAGACCACTGAGTTTTGCATTTGGATAAGCCATATAGATTACGGCACGCAGTATGTTCCTTAAAACAAAATGTTGGTCTGGGTCATTCCAGGTCAGTGACCTATTCGGATCTTTAAGAAGTTTATGGAAGGTCCATAATACGGCTCCTTTGATCAATACATTTGAAGTGCGCACCAGAAACTACCCCATACAACAAGCCCTACAGTAATAAAGCAGGTTTATGTTGACCTTGGCATGACCTTAATAACGGACCTAAGGTCAATGTTATTTGTTCATTCAATTGTTGTGCTGTCAAAGAAAGTATCTCAGAGATTGCATCTCACTGTTGTATCTCACTGTTGGATCAGATTGAACGATTCCCTAGAAATTGTCCTCGCTGAGACGCGTTTGACCTGCGATAGGTCAGCGACCTCACAAGGTAAATCTAAATATTTGATGCCAAACGATCCGCTATTCAATTGTCTACAGCTATGCAAAATTTGGCGCGGCTACGCCCCGACGTTCGGAAACAGTTCTCGAAAAACCTTCGGCGGTCAATTTGACCTCCCACCCGGGCGCGTGTAAAGTCGCGTGAGTCTGCCGTTTCCCCAATGTTCATTACAGCGGTCCAGAGATTGACGCCCGTGAACCGCCATCGTAGCACGTGCAGCGCTCAATCGCACCAGCACCGTCACCACGCGAAGCCCGTATCAGCTCCAGACGGGTGCTGACCGCGACAGGCGGACATCGGCCGACCGCTGGTCACTGGCAGCTCTGCGGCTACACCGGTGGCGAGACACCCGGCACGACACCGACCCCCGAGAGCGTAGGTGTCGTGGGCACGGCAGCATAGTCGGGCAGCACTTCCCTACCTTTGACCTTCTCCGAGCTGTATTCGTCGCGAAGCCGGTCCACGAAGCGCTGGTACAGCTGGCGCGCTTCGACGCCGCCCATGGCACGCCGGAAGTCGGGCTTGTTGCCCTGCAGCTTGCCATAGAGCGTGAACTGGCTGACACAGAGCACCTCCAGTCCACTGTCGCGCACTCCGCACGCCCACCGCTTGCCATCGGCGGCCTCGAACACGCGCAGGTTCAGCACCTTGCGACTCCTAACGACACATGGTCAGAGTAGTCTGGCTCTGGCCTGGTCTCACAGCGCCCTACTGAAATAGCATACCTCTCCCCTCTCCCAGCAGAACAACAAATATTAAATGGTGTAAAGGACACAAATTACTGCCTCTAGTTGTGAGCCAGATCATATAAACACCTGATGTGTTCACAAGGGCATTCTATATAGTGAACATGTTTCAGTGCCACAAATAAGATCACTGAACTGAGCCCTCAGAATCTGGCATGTGGTTGAACATTCCATGCTGACAAAAATGCTGTCTCAATTTGTGGCACTATAACAGACATTTTATGCTAAGTGCATGTGAGGCATGCCAATGCAATGCATGTTGCATCATATTTCAGTTAGTCAGTTGCTAACTGTTGGCACTGCCTGAATGGTTATTTTCCTTGACCCAGACATGGCTTAGCTACTTAGCTACAGCATTATTTCTCTCTCCCCACCCCACCCCCCCTCCCACGAGCAGCATTTTGTATTAAAAACAGATGTGTTATACCCTACCAAACATTGGCACAATCGTGCAAACATAAGATGATCATGAAAATACAAAAAACATTGTATCAAGAGCATGTCATGTGACTGAAGTCTGAGCCTGATAGTAGATGGAAGGAAGTACAGACAAAATCATATATTTTGAAGACCAACAGAAAGTGATATGCTTACATATATTCTAGATCCTTATCTGTATCATCTCTTGAGAGGCCAACTAGGATGCACAGGCCTTTTTTAATGCTGCTGACTAGCTGCCCATCAACTGAAATAATAATGTCAGCGATTAGTACAGTGCATGAAGAATCATCAGTCATGCCACAGTTACAATCTGACCACAATCCTCCATTTCATTACAAATTATCTGAACATTCTCACAACATTTAAACACGACAAAAATAGCCGAACCACGAAAGCAATGGACATCAAGTCCTGAGCTCTCATTCATGACCACAATTTGTCTCGATGTCACAGGGGTACAGGCTATAACTTAACATCATCAAGCAGAAATATTTCTGAGCAAGTACAATAAGCATTCAAATCTGACAATGAAAACCAGAAATGGCAGACATCCTACATTCAAAATGACACAACCAAAATGACAGTATTCCAACATTCAATATTACCTGTAACACTTGCATTGGACACCCTCTGAACGACAACCTTCATGGCTTAAACTTCTGTAAATAAGCAGATGCTAATGTGGCTCATCAGCTCCAGCGCCTGAATGCATAGGAGGGGAGAGACTGCATAGCACTAGAGAGGGGAAGCACGGGAAAACCACACATGTGCCATTTTGCTTCCACAGACTTCCACCGAAAATATGGCCAACAGGTACCCTCACCCAGAATCTCAATTTGTTGCATACATATGGGAAAAAACCGTAGTATTAGTAAAAGCTTGGCTACATGGGGCGCCGGGCCGTTCCCTCGGCCAGCATAATCCACACATGCCACAGGGCTGATTGGTGAAACACCGCCCCGCCCCCCCCCCCCCCCCCTCCCTCCACACCCTCCAAACGCTGCCAGGCCACACTGGCCCTGTCTTAACCGATCCTGTCCCGGACGTCGTGATGAAATCGCACCTGAGCACGAGAACCTGGCGAGATCTGTTTCGACCTAGCACATCCAATAAAGCATTTGCACCTGGGAAATGGCATTGGTTTGCACCAGAACCACAAAATTATTAGTGAAACTCGCTTCCAGCCTGCCCCCATAGAGAGGATGCATTCACCAGTGATTTGTTCCGAAGAACTCAAGCCGAAAGTGCTTTGAAATAGTCTGTGTAGAGGAGTACAACATACAGTAACAACAACATGTGGTGGGGATGGGATACGGCGGGCCAGACGGACTCACATCACCCTGGGGCGCGCTTAGAAAAGATGGAACGCGGATCCTCCTGAACGCGCGCCTGTAGTGGTTTTGGTGCGTTTCAGATGTGGCCTCACGGGAGACGTTCGTATTGTCCAAGGTACAAAATGTCCAAAGGCCACCTTCGTTCGCAAGGGTGTTAGCGAGGACATTTCCCGCGATGCCACAATGTCCCGGTATTCACAGAAAGGTCATATGTTGGTCGGTAGGTAGCGAACGCATTATATTGTGGATGTCATACACTCACGGGTGGTTGAAATCATCGATTCGCTGAAGGGCCTGCAGCGATGCCTTGGAGTCTGTGCAAATCGTAGCCTGACGAATACGTCTGACTGGTATGCAACAGCACTCGTTTTGTATTGTATACGTTCGCAGAGAACACCGTGCTGAAGTTTGGAAGATGTCCGGTGAATCGAAAGTCAGGACCGACGTCTGCCACACCGACCTGGTCACCATGACCAGATCCATCGGTGTTAAAGAAAACGCATTCAGCGTGCGTATTTCGGCACTCCAGTGAGGCAGATTGTACCTCAACAGGGGACAATTCCGATTTTAGTTTTAAATTGATACTCTTTTGAGAGATCATTGTAAACCAGAAAGGCATTAATGGAGGGCTACGAGCAACGCGTATGCATGGGATGCCAAGGGCTCGTTGCACCTGTTTGACAGCGTCGGATAGGAAACACGACTTTCGCTGCCGTCTTTGTGGGCGCGGCTTATTGGTTTTAAGAGTAGCGCATACCGCGTGGTTCAGCACACTTCGAGATGTGTCGTGGTACCGAAACAGCAAGAAAGAACGCCGGTCTGTCAGCACTGGCAGGTTGATGTCAGCACGGATCGCGAGAACTGGGATCGTGCGGAGGGCCCCTAT